GCCTGGTTCAAAAGTTTCTTGAACTTCCTCTTCAGGAAGAATCCTGATGATCAGAAGGAAAATGCAGGGCAAAAGGCAAAGGAAAAAGATATCAAAGCTCCTCACAGCACCAAATCAGATGTGCCTAGGCGGCCTGGGACAGACGTGAACACCGCCCCGCCGCCGGGCAAACACCCGAGGAAGAGACCCAGCCTCAAGAGGGTCTTCTCGTTCAAGAAGCACGTGGGCGCCGAGGAGGAGCGCGGGGAGGCTGCAGCAGGAGCCAAGGCCAGGAGGCCCAACCGCCTCCTGCTGAGGCACATCCAGACACCGGCCTCGACAGGTGGGAGCCGGCCCCGCGGCCTCGGGGCAACGCAGGCGGCAGCCGAACGTGGCACCGTGTTTGGCCAAGATCCTTACCCCTTCCCTTCCCTTAGGAGCACAGCAACAACCAGCCCGGCTTTCCAGGGCTCTCGGGGGCCTTCCGACTCAACTTGCTGTCCCAGGACAGGGTCACTTTTGCCTCTGTTTAAAGATGGCCCTGGGTGAAGCCCAGTTCATTACTCAGACTTGGGAGTGCAGCAATTTACTGCCAGTCAGCTGCTCCCCGTGTGCAGGTTTTGCACCTGCAGCTAATGAGGGACATCACAGTTCAGTTCAAACCTGCATTTGGGATCTAAGGTTAAATCTTAAACTATTAAAGGTCTAAAATAAGTTGCTTTAAATTTGCTGCTGGCTAAGGGAGTGAATGGGGACAGCTGTTGTGACACGGCAGGTGACTTGTGCAACAGGTTACGGTGCAAGTTAATCCATCTGCACCCTTCCCCTGCTGAAAAATCGACGAGATGGCTTTTAGGAAGGTTTGGTCAATTCAGGGCAAGTTGCAGGAGCTCATAACAATTTCAGAAAGCACCTCGGATAGTTCATTAATGGTCTGCACTAATCCAGGGTGAGCACGCGCAGGAATTTTGCTGGCTGGGCGTTTGCCATGCCCGCCTTTCCCTTTCAAGCAGTGAGGGACTCGCCCAAACCCAATTCTGACCGTGCATTTGCCTTCCAACAGGTACAGACCAGCCCGACTGCTACTACGCGCAGGTGTCTGAAGAGATAGGGCTGATAGTTCACGGCAGCGAAAGCCACGCGAGCGGCCAGCAGCGTTTCCAGGAGCCGCAGGGCCCGGCCGGCGCGGATGGTGTTGGTGAGTGTTGTCCTCGACAGCTTCACGGCAGCTGCCGGCGCTGCGGGTTCGGCTTCAGGGACGGAGCCGGCACGAGACCCCCGACCCACGTCGGGTCTGTCACTGCGTGTGGCCTTTGGATTCGTTCACTCATTGGGGCTTGATTTTGAGAGGGAGAAACTCAAAGGCAGGAGGGTCTTTCCCATGGCTGAGGAAACCAGGCGTTTTTAATAGGCTTAAGTGTATTTTCCAGGGATAGAGGTATATGCATTCCTCTGGGTTTTTAGGGAGCGAAGTTCCATAGGCAGCATTACCTCCTCACAGCATCTTGGTGTGGGGCTTGTGAAAAGGCTGGAAATAACGTCAGAAATGATTCTTCTCTCTGCACAGAGGAAGCCATCAGAAGGATCGTTGCCCTCCTTCAGAGCACAGGAGATGACCTGGATAGGAAGGTAAGAGAAAACTTACTGGCTGCAGAGGGAGAAGTAATTTGGGCCAAATTCTGTATTGCTGTAAAATGGTGCAACATCACTGACCTGCACGGGGCAGCAGCAGGCCATGATGCTCCATCCAACCAAGCAAACGGCAGCTTTTAATTCCTTGACTGGGTGGGCTCAGGTCTGTCTGTCTGTCTGCCCTCCCTCAAAAGCAGCCTCAGCAAGGTGTGAAAGCCCTAACACAGCTACGACACAGCGAGTCCTTCACTCCTAACCTGTGTATCCATGTGCTGCTCAAACAGGTGAAGGAAGATGCACGGCTACGGATGTTTTTCAAAGAAATGTCCTACAGCTCCTTCAAGAACTTGGCTGATGCCTACGTCAGCACGGAAATGACAGCCAGCAGGCCCAACATTAACCCCCAGGAAATCCAGTTTGCCTTTGCTGTGCACCTCACTGCCAAGGTGGCCGGCATCTGCAACCAGGCGGTGAACCGGATCATGGGCTTCGGCACGCGCTACCTGGAGGACTCGTTTGCACCCCTGTCCTACGGCAAAATTCTCCAGGTATAGAGGAGCGAGGTGTTCACGACAGCTGCCAGCAGCAAGTTGGGGCAAGTGGTGGCATTTAAGGATGATCCATGGGCGGGTGATGTCAGTCCAGCCAGGTTATGCTAGAGGGGTTACAAAGCACTGGATCTTAGGAGTGCGCTGGGGCTGGATCTTGTTTTCCTACCTGGAAAAAGGTAGGAAACCCGGTAGGATGGGTTGCCTTGGTCTGTACCCAACAGGCACATGGCCCATGTGTGAACAACAACCAGACTTGGGGAAAATTCCTACGGAACATGTACAGGAGACCATGCTGGGCCAATAGCACCAGTCCCAGTTCAGGCTCCCTGGTGTCACTCACCTGGGGAAGGGACTCATGGGTGTCTTGTTCTGTCTCAACAGGATAGGGACCAGTTCAACACAGAGAACTGCGAGAGCCCAGACTGAAATCGGCTGCTCCGGAACGAGTTTCCCAACCATGGCTGGGGCCCAACGTGGCTGCGAGCCGAAGGATGCAGATTTCCCAATGTGTGGAGCAATCCCTGCGGATTCTGGTCTGAATCCACTGTAATTTGCCACCTGTGGATTTAAAATCCTCTAAGGAAAACAACCGCAAAGACACAGCAGCATGAAATGTTTAAAAAGCTGGGGCAATGAAATAGTCTGCAATTCAAACATATTCTTATTTCTTGGGTTGTCCTATATTTTCATTTTAGCTCTTATCTAACATGTGTTACTTGACACTAGTTGTGTATTTTTTGTTTGTGTATGTCTATTTATATACCTGCTTTTCTATATCTATGTGCAATATAATTTATACAGCTTCTGCCATCATGCAAAGATGCAGTTCAGGAAAGTCCACAAAAATCATGCCTAAGTGGTGCACAGATGTTCACGTGCTCCTTTCCTGGCTATAAATTCTGTATTAAAAGTGGCACCAATCCGGTTGTCACTGGATTGTCCAGGATGGAGCATCAGGAATTTGAGCTGGAACTACTCTGCCAAAGCAAGTTTTTGTGCCAAAAGATCTGTTGTTGTTTCACAGCTTCTTCTAGTGCATTTCTCAAATATGACAGCTCCTGAGTGCCAGCCAGTCTTGTGTAAAGGAAATGAGAGATGTGTAAAGACATTGTACTTGGAATAAAGTTTGCCTTGCTCCAGCTGTTGTGGGATGCTCCTTTCAAACCAGATGTAAAGTGGAACAAAGTGAATTTTACAGCAGATACATGGTGTTTTCCTGCCATTTCTTGTCTATTTATGGCCATTTCCTTTCTAGCAGCAGGAGATTTATTGCAAAAGCAGATTGTGCTGACACCAAGCAATGAGTAAAGCTTGTTTCCGAGTAGCCCAGAAGCTGTGCTTGATATAACTCCTCGATGCACTGAGGAGATTTATAGCTGCTGGGGTCTCACCTACTATGTCTAAGAAGATGTGAAATGTCAAAGAGATTAAACCATAATCTCTGGGAACATTCCCAGCTAATCTTTGCCCAAACCCCTAAGCAGGGCCCTGGATTAAGGCTGTGGATCTTGGCTCAGGGCCGTGCTGGGTTGGCCATCGCTGGCTGCAGTGGGAGTCAACAGGAGATTCTCCCTTGGCAGGGTCAGACACAACAAGCGTGGGGGGAAGGAGATGGAATTTGGGGTCCTGCAGCAGGCGAGAGGCTGGTTCATTTAACGATGACTGTGGCCTTGAAACACTTCGCTATGAAAAAACCTGGTCGTATCTCAGACAGCCCAGGGGAGCTGAGCGGGGCTGTCACAGGGCTCGATCCGGTCCAGGAGGGTGAAAACCCCCTCGTCCCCCTCCTCCCCATCCCACTCGAGTGGTGCCAGCTGTAAGTGCAGCACAAGGGCAGCGTTTCCTTTGGCCACGGACCAGCCTCATCAGACTTTTATTGCAGGAGAAACTGAAACGGGTCTCGACTGTTTGCAGACCTACGTGACGTTACCCTGTCCCTGTGAAGCTGCAAGAGCCCAGGGAATTTTAAAGAACTGATGCCCAGGGAGATGGTATCGGGGACGAGGCAGGGCCTGGCGGGAGGATCGTGCGATGGCCTTTGCTGCCCAGGTGATTTGCTTTGCATCTGAGATCCTGCGGTCCGGGCTGCGTGACTGCATTTGCATGGAGCAGAAGGGAGTTTTGTTTCCTCCTTGGCTTCCCAGGGGACACTGTCTTCCTGCTGTGCACGGGACACTCCTGACAGGCAAAACAACAGTGAGAAAACCATTACTCTCTTCCATCCCCCTTCTCCTCCTGTTCCCAATGTCACAGCTCAATGAAATATCCTCCTTTTGTGGCCGCTGGGCCCTTTTCCTTCCCATTCATCATGGGAGCAGTGCCAGCTAAACATGAAGACAAGTGTTCACAGCTCCTTGCAAAACAGCCCTGTGTTCCCAAACCATCGGAGCAGAAATGAGGCCACGGCTGGTCCGTATGGCCCGGTGCTGCAGGGCGAGGGCCAGAGCAGGGATCCCAGCTCCGAGCATGGGGAACCCCACGGAGCGGGATCCCGGCTCCGAGCACACGGAGCCCCATGGAGCAGGATCCCGGCTCCGAGCACACGGAGCCCCATGGAGCAGGGATCCCAGCTCCGAGCACACGGAGCCCCAAGGAGCAGGGATCCCATCTCCGAGCACGCAGAGCCCCATGGATCAGGGATCCCATCTCCGAGCACACGGAGCCCCAAGGAGCAGGGATCCCATCTCCGAGCACGCGGAGCCCCACAGAGCGGGATCCCAGCTCCAAGCATGCGGAACCACCATGGAGCAGGGATCCCAGCTCCAAGCATGCGGAACCACCATGGAGCAGGGATCCCAGCTCCCAGCACGTGGAACCCTATGGAGCGGGATCCCAGCTCCCAGCACGTGGAACCCTACGGAGCGGGATCCCAGCTCCGAGTACGCGGAGCCTCATGGAGCGGGATCCCAGCTCCGAGCACACGGAGCCTCACGGAGCGGGATCCCAGCTCCGAGCACACAGGGGCTCCTTGTGTTGCCGCCTCTCACCGTTCCCGTCTCTGCTCATTAGGGCCTTGGACATCTTGGCCTAATCGCTCAGTTACAAAACCAAGACCCCGGCTGCCTGGTACCACTGAAGAACTGCATGGAAGAAAGCCGAGTTATTAGCCCTGGAGTTTTGATCGGTTTCCAGCTCTCGGTATTACGCTCATCCTTCCCTAAACTCCTCGCCATAATTTCAGACCTCTAAGGCAATTACGTCTCCTTAAAATCCGTGGGATCACGAGCGCTGCCATCTGTGCTGCCGTCCCGCACGAGACGGGCTCTCCCCAGCCACCTGGCGGGTGCTTAACGGGAGCGAGGAGTTTTCTTGGGAAAGCGCCCGAGGGCGCCGCTGGATCCTGCATCTCTGCAGTCCTTAGTCCGGAATAATCCTGCCCTGTGGAGCACCGGCTGGGGGGGACAGCTCCGAAAATCCCCCAGGCACTTAACGGAGCGATGGGTTTGGAGCGCTGCGGCGCTACGAGGATGACGCCAGGGTTTGTCTCACGGGCAGCGTGGCAGCCGGCGGCGAGGTGAGCACAGCACGGGGCATCCTGCCCCAGGCCCGGCTGGGGCGGCACCACAGGGATTTGGCAGGATCTCCAGGGAGAAACCCTGCAAAGGGGGAAGGAAGACAGCAAAATCCCCCCGGCCGCAGGGGGAGAGCGGCTGGGGCAGGTTGGGGGAAACGTGGGAATGTGGCGGATCTCAGCTGCTGCCTCGACATCGGCAGCCCCCCTGGGCCACTCGTCATTCCCCATCCATCCTCCCTCTGAGCTGCTCGTGTACCTTGCACAGGGATAACTGCTTTGTATGGGCAGCGTAAGGCTCTCCTCCTGCCTCTCCAGTTGGAAAAATCCCATTTAATATGTTGCCTTATAGCAGCGGCAAGGGAAGGAACTATTGGAACACGATGCCCGCAGGAGTGCCCAGGAGAGCATCTCCTGGCACCGCTTCCCCTCCACACAGCTCTGCAAAGTTGGTAGCAACAGGGGTCTCCTGCAGCACCAGCTCTGTTGGCAAACCCAGCTGCCAAGGGGAAAGTTGTCCTGGAGGGAGATGCGCCTTCCTGCAGATCCCATGGGATTCATCCACAGCTTTCCTGAAGCTTGGCAGTGGCGCTGGGCTCTCAGTTGAGGCCTGACGAGCGTTGAGCAAAGCAGGAGCTCCCCATACCTTGTATTTGCAGTTCCTGTTTAATTCCCTGAGTGCCTGATGAGTGTAACTATGGCAAGAGTTAATTAACTGACAACGGTCCACATTCTCTTCCAGTGTTCAAAGGTAATTCCAGGGCAGTCAGAATGGGTCAGTGAGACCCATGGTGGTTTGGGAGGCCTCATTTTGCTGGCAGGTGTTTGGCAGTGGTGGCCCAAAGTCCTCTGGATGGGCAAGTCTCCTTTCATAGAATCACAGAATGCTCAAGGTTGGAAGGGACCTCTAGAGATCATCTAGTCCAACCCCCTGCACACGCAGGGTCACCTAGAGCACGTGGCACAGGACTGCGTCCAAGCGGGTTTGGAAGATCTCCAGAGAAGGAGACTCCACAACCTCTCTGGGCAGCCTGTTCCAGGGCTCTGTCACCCTCACTGTTAAGAAATTTTTCCTTAAGTTCCTGTGGAATTTTTGGTGCTTCAGTTTGTGGCCATTTCCTCTAGTTCTGTCAGTGGCCACCAGTGAAAAGAGGCCAGCACCATCCTCCTCACTGCCTCCCTTGAGGTACTTCTAGACACTGCTCAGGTCCCCTCTCAGCCTTCTCTTCTCCAGCTGAACAGGCCCAGCTCCCTCAGCCTCTCCTCATAGGGCAGATGTTCCAGGCCCCTGATCATCCTTGTGGCCCTGCGCTGGACTCTCTCCAGCAGCTCCACATCCCTCTTGTCCTGTGGAGCCCAGAACTGGACACAATACTCCAGATGTGGCCTCACCAGGGCTGAGTAGAGGGGCAGAATCACCTCCCTCGACCTGCTGGAGACGCTCCTCTTAACCCAC